TTTTTGTTGCAGTTTGGCTGGGGCTAGGTTTGAACCCACCACCCTCGGTATATGGGGCTGGCACCCTACTCACTGAGCCACAGGCGCTATCCGAGGTGTTCAGTTTTGTATCAGGATATAACCTAAACCACAGCAAGAACAGAGTGGTGCGGATGAGGCTATGTCTCTGGTGGAACGGTCCAGATGAAAGGTGCTCTTGTTTTTGAGACCAGCTTCTTTCTGATGGGTTTGCCCTGTTGCCACCTGGGCTTTCTCTCAGCAGTGTATCCTGTGCTGGCTCACCAGGCCTGCTATGTTCTGGCCCAGAGGTGACTGTCAGCTGTAAGCAGGTGTTCCTGTCCCATTGGCCAGAGCTTTGTTCCCATTGCCTCACTGTGTGCAGGAAAGTAGGACATGTAGGCTGTGTTCATTACTAGAAGAGAGGAGTGGACGGAAGCTTTGGAACCATTAGCAGTCTGCCACAGCATTCCTGAATTCACAACATTTAGTTTTTCTGTCACTGTTGGCAGCAGTGTGGACTGAGAAGGAATAATTACACTGAGTGTGTCTTGTGTAAGCATGATTAGAACATACCATCATACGACAAATATTTGCTAAATGTAAACTTTGTGCAGAGATATAGAACTGTCCACATGGCACTTGCATTCTCCTGGGGACATGGAGCATACGTGGTCTGTGGTGTGTACAAAAAACACAGCTCATTGATTCTAGGACACACCATTTATTCCTCTTAGTATCTCTGAAATGGAATTGACTCTTAGAGTTGGTGGAATATTTTAGTCTTTAGTTTTTTGTTGTTTTTTTTTGAGACAGAGTTTCACTTTGTTGCCCTCAGGAGAGTGCCATGGTGTCACAGCTCACAGCAACATCAAACTCTTAGGGTCACGTGATTCTCTTGCCTCAGCCTCCCAAGGGACTATAGGCTCCTGCCACAATGCCCAGCTAGTTTTAGAGATGGGGTCCTGCTCTGGCTCAGGCTGGTCTGAAACTCCTGAGCTCAAGCGATAACCCACCTTGGCCTTCCAGAGTGCTGGGATTACAGGCATGAGCCACCAACTCTGGCCAGCATATTTTAGTTTAGTTTTTTTTTTTTTTTTTTTGAGACAGAGTCTTACTTTATAGCCTTTGGTAAAGTACCCATGGCATCACAGCTCACAGCAACCTCCAACTCTTGGGCTTAGGGGATTCTCTTACCTTAGCCTCATGAGTAGCTGGGACTACAGGCACCCGCCATAACACCTGGCTATTTTTTTGTTGCAGTTTGGCCAGGGCTGGGTTGGAACCCACCACCCTCTGGTATATGGGGCCAGTGCCCTACCCACTAAGTCACAGGCACTGCCCAAGAATATTTTAGTTTTCGGCTCGGCGCCTGTGGCTCAACCGGCTAAGGCGCCAGCCATGTACACCTAAGGTGGCAGGTTCAAATCCCCAGCCCTGACCCGCCAAACAACAATGACGGCTGCAACCAAAAAA